CATTGCATTACTATTGGTTTACTTGTTTTTTATTTGTTTTATTTTATTCACAAATAATATTTTATTTCTTGAAAGAATTAGAGAATATTACATGCAATGCATTCTTTTTACGTGTTTGATAGTAATAATATACTTGATAAATATGTAGTTTTATATTGTTTATAATATTAAAAGGTTTTGAATTTATTTCCATGTTCTGATAAAATATTAAGTAACTAATTCATGTTTATATTCACAAAAAATATTTTTTACAACCATTATGGTGTTCCCTTTCAAGCAATAATTGAATAATAGTTTAACATACAACTGGTTTATTTTTTTGTTTTAATTCACATATTTAATATTGATAATAGTTGTACAATTACATCTAATTGACTTTTTCCTTAGTATGAATATTTCAAATCTATGCCAGAAAAATATACCACAAGTTTATCTAATATTATTTTATAATTAATAAAATTAATTTAACATGGATCTATAATTATTTTATAAGATTCTTTTAGGTCTATTTATTATTTTAAATTGGTATTGGTATATATATATTATTTTACATCGATATAAATAATTATATTATTTTTATTTTATTTACAAAACATTGGTAAAATCAAATATCATGGGAAAGAAATGATATGATATATTACATATAAAAGGGTAACAAAAAAAAAATAAGTATTTCAAAATTAAGAAATTTAATGGTGTAAATTAACTAATTTTTTAACTAAAAAATTATGACTAACATACCGATTTCTAAGACAAAAAAATAAATATATTTTTTATAAATGTGCATCTCAAGTATATTTTACATTTATCATTCGCTAGCTCCAATTGATATATGACATTTATTAATTTTATCATTTTTTTTTTATTTTTGAGTGGAATGTCAGTTATAAGCTTTCTCATTGTGTAGTTTTACCTTTTTATTACGTAGAACATCATCTTTACATCTTGTTTAGTATTAATATTACCTTTTCAGTAGAACATCATTCTGGCCTCTTCTTTAATTATTATAATACTAATAAAATATTTAAGGACTTTTCAACTTATATGTATTTTTTAATTACTAATTATCATAAATTAAATGATAATTACATTAAATATGTTATATTTTGTATCATTATTTACAATTTTCAAAACAATTAACTGCACACAATATTATATATAGTGCGAATTTTTTAGTTTGATTTGGAGTCATACTTTTATTACAAGAAAATGATGAAATTCCAATGAAAACATATTACAGCGAAATTTCGAGAACAATTCTAACGAATATTTCAACGTTACAATTTTCGTTTGAATTTTTCAATGAAAATTATAACAAAAATATTTTGTTGCAATCATGTGCAGATCCATGTTTGTCCAATAGTCCCGAAACTGGCATCATCCCAAAACAAATAGCATAAGATATCTAACAAACATTATGGGAATATTTTTCATAATTTTAATCATGTCCTCTATTTAGAAAATAAAATTAAAAGAATAAAGACAAATAATGATTAATTTACAACTCAACCAATTATAATTTAATTCAACTCATAACGTTATTAAAATTATAACATCAATGCGGTATCCCAACTAAAGAAAATATGATATCAAATTTTACAATTTTACGCTCTATTTCTCTCTTTTCTTTTTATTCTTGATGATATCTTATTATCTCTCTTTTGCGACATAATTTTTATCTAATTTTAGAAAATATATTTTAAGTCTTTTTTAAGTGTATGTAGAATTCTAGTTATATATTCGTAATTTATACAATCATCTATTATATTGTCGAGTCAACTATACTACAACATAAAATTTTTGTTCATAAAAAGATTTTGAAAAATGTATTATTTTCTTATGATTTTCTTATGTCGAATTGAAAAAAACTATGCTTTTTTTTAATATTATTGAACTTATTGTGATTGTATTGATGTGTTAAAAAAAGTATTACATATGAGAAAGTTGACAAATTAAGAAAAGTATACTTTATAAATTGTAATGACATTATGTTGTTTTGATGCAATACTTTTTGTATACTTTATAAATTGTAATGACAAATAGTTGAGAATATTTAGATCTTTTATAAGTATTTATTATGTTGTTTTTGTTGCATAATTTTTTGTTTAAATAAATTTTATATATTAAAATCATTATATATGATTACGATTTTATCATCAAAATTATATTAAAAATAAGGACGTTATTCAAAACAAAAATTCAATATCATTTCAAAACTTTGTTGTTTGGGTTAATGTTGAGTTTATTTTTTAGAGATATTGAAGAAAACGGTTTGGGAGATATGTGGAAGAAACCAAATTCTTGAAGAATAATAGTGTGAATATTGTGGTTGATTTTTAAGAGATGTGGAATGTTTTGTTCATTTAATTGTATTAAATGAATAAAATATTAAATGAGAATTAGTGTATTACTAATTTGAGGTTAAAAATATGTCAAATAAAGAGAATTTAGGTACATATTAGTTATTAATAGAAAAAATATAAGATGAGATATATATTATGTTATTACTAATTTGCCATTAAAAATATACCAAAGTAAAGGTATATTAGTTAGTTCTTTCTTTTACAAAAACACTCGTCCTTTTATAGTAGTATTTTGAGTTACCATTTTAGTTAGCACAACATTAGACATAGAATATAATAAAATATTTGGACTAAATATTACATAAGATTATTTTGTAGATATTATTTACAAAAACCAATTTGTTTTGGTAAACTTATGTGGAAGAGTTATTTTTTTTTCAAATAGCTACTTCGCTAAGAGAATCATAACGATTTCTTCAAAGACCACCTCAATCTCCATCATTTTTAGTAAAATGTAGAATTATTTGAGTCATACTTTGGGCGTGTATCGTAATAGTTTTCAATGTTACGCCGTTATTTATTTAATTAAATATTAGTGATTACCAAAAAAAATAAGATTTGAAGAGTATTAGTGTATTATTAATTTGCCATTAAAATTAAGTCAAAGTAAGGGTTTTTTAGGTAGTTCATTTGTTAATTAAAAATATAAAATAAGATGGATATTACTGTATTACTAATTTGCCATTAAAAATATGTCAAAGTAAGGGTTTTTTAGGCAAATCATTATTTTTACAAAATCACTCGTCCTTTTATAATAGTATAGATAGATATATAAATATAACTCACTCCGTTTTCCCTTCATAAACGAAACATAAAACTATGGAGAATCCCCCATGGATTTTCTTCATGTTCTTGGCCATTACAGGTGTCGTCTTCTTGAAACTCGGATTCATCGTTTTCGATAAAACAGACCTCCCCAACTCTATTTCTCCTCCCGTCATCTCACTGTTCAAGCACCTTTTAGCCATATCCGTCTGCCACTCGTCCAACTATGCCCTCATATTCCGACCACTGAAGCCATTTCCCGTCCACAAATTCAGTCTCATGGTGATATCGGCACATGCAGCGCTTCTATTCTACCGAACGGGCAACGTAAATCCATTCGCCTTCAATTCCTTCTTTCACTATCTCCTTCATTTCTTCGTGGTAACCGCCTACTCGGTCTTCAAATTTTACTTGGAAAGTTATTTTGCATATGCCTTTACAGCCGCCCTCATCCCTTTAGTTTATAGCTCGGGCAGCGACTCATTTGCATGGTACCTCGCCATATGTGTGTGGATTAACCTGCTAGGTATTGTAATACAGAGGCCCATTTTGGTCTCTGTATTCAATAACAAAATGATCATCGCCATATTTTTCAGCGTCGAGTCGTCGTTGTTCTTAACCGGAGGCACGACGAATAAGTCGTCGTTATTTCCCACTTTTTTCGTGCTTTTGGTTTCCTATACCACCTCTGCTCTCTGCTCGGCGGACAAAAGCTTGGTGGATTTGTTTTCTGTCCTGAGTGGTAATGATAAGAAGGTTAGGTTTCTTAGGTTTGGGGTTGGCGTGGTGGGGGCCGCGCTCTTCCAGAATTCCGTGGCCCTCACGTCGTTCGCCCACGTGGCGGCGTTCCTCTGCTTTGCGGTTGCGTGGCTGGCTAATTTGGTCATGTTGCGCGCGTCGTTTGACTTTGGGATTTTCGAGTTTTTGCTCGGTAATGTGGTTGTGGGTTGCGCGGTGAGTCGGTTCGGGCTGCACGCGCCCACGTGGCTCTTTTATGGTGCTTCGGTTATACTCTACGGTTTGCGGCTCAAGCTCGAGTCAGTGACCATGGCAAGAAGAGAGGTTGAAGATGTAGTATGCTCTAGTGTTTAAGTATATACATGAGAGATCTTTGTAACTAGTCACAACTTGAGAGAGAAAAAAATAATATTCCTGCATTGAAATAATAAAAAATGAAACTTTTCCTAAGAGCTAAAATTTTTCTAGTCAACTAGATCTCATTGTGAAGCTGTGTATATCTGACTTCCTCAAAGTTATATTACCTCATTTTTCATTTAGTAAACTCCCCGGTTGTTGCTTTCTTCATAAACACAACTGCTCTGTTCAGACTTTGTCCACTTGTAAAGAAGAAGAAAAAGAAAACAATAAAGTAATAAATGCACCTTTAATACTTTGCTCCTTTTGGTTTATTTTTCGATCTCTTCTTTCTTTCTTTTTTTTCCAGTTGCATCAAACTTACTAAGAGGCAACACTATTAACCGGCTAAACACATCCTCTTTATTGGTGTGTTAATAATATGGTGAAGTGGCATGTAGACCTCAACAAATAATAAGTAATTTTGTTAAAATCAATATGGATTCGATTATTGCAATGTTTGTACATGGGTCATAATGGATTACTCCTCTTTTTAACATCAAATGAGAGACTCCGGTTAAAATATCAAGTGTGGAATTTCTCTGCATATGGAATCCCTCAAATACTTTTTTTGTCTTACTCATTAGCTGGGATGTTTAGTTCACATGTTGATGGCTTAAATTAAAGATAATCCTATCTTGGGCTTAACTAAACTCAATTTGTGGAGCACAGTCTCAAAATTTCTTCATGGCTGCACGGAGATGCAATATTTCTTAGTAGACATAAGGTTATCCTTTCATGCTACTGAGACTTGTTCTTATTTTACAGGTACCTTCTCACATTTTAATGGGCATTCCTCATGGTGGAGAGATTTTGTCTCTGTCGCCTCTTGGTGAAGCATGCCTTAGAAAGGACTTAACTGCCATACATGAGATTTTGGAAAAACTTGGCTACAAAGATGACGAGGGAGCCACAACTGAGGTCTGTTTCTTGTTTTGTGTTACTCAAGAAGTTCCATTGCAGGCTAATACAAATTTAAAGATCTTTTATTTGGTAACTTCATCTCATATCGTGTGCAAATTCTAACGCTTAGTGTGTTTGTAGTTTATTTATGGTTAATATTTTCGTTAGATACAACTTGATCTTCGTCTCATGAATGAACTCTCTGTCTTATACCTTAGTTAGCTTATTCAGTCTTAGCAGCTTTAAAGCAAGTATGAGGATTTTGGTCCACCAAGAGCTAATTGTATTGAGTTATGCAGCTTTCATTCCAGATGTGGACGAATCAAATGCAAGATACACCGAGCTCTAAGAAGAAGGGAGATGCTGCTTTCCGGCATAAAGATTTTAGAGTGGCCATTGATTGCTATACACAGGTTATAATCATTGCTATTTTTCTCTCTCATTAAAAAAGTTCAGACTAAAAATATTTTCTTATCCAGTTACGATCGGTGAAGTCTTTTAAACTTCTTATGGTGTTATTGTGTTAATAAGGTCTTTAACCCAATACAAGAAACTGAGTCAGTTTTTTTCAAAATTATAAAATGAAATGTCACTAAGGCTATGCTTAGATTGAGGTATTTGGAATCCGAGGGATTTCATATGTAAATCCATGAATTTCAAATTTCATGCTTTAAAATTTCTTATTTGGATATGGATATTTTATTGAAATTATAATAAATCCATTGTCTTGCTAGTGTTGGTCCTCGCAGTGCTGGGATAAAGAGTGAATTGCTGTGCAATTGGCTAATATCTGGTGATTGAGTGCTTGAATTGGTTTGAATGGTTTGCCTCAAGCTTGAGCCTGTGTTTGGTTTGCAAGTGGTTGATGGTTAGAGTTGGAATTGGATTCATGCGGATAACTATATTCTGTCATGTTTTTTGTATTTTGTTGTAATATTTATATAATACGTATCTTGGTCAAGGATACAAATTCTTGTTGTGCAAAAAAAAAGCTGCTAAAACGTTTCTGCTTAAACACGTGCAGTATGTCGACTACCCTTTCCAAAAGGAACCTATTCCATTGCAACTTTTAAAATTTTGTATATTGAATTAATTCTTTTGAGACTTTTTCTAAAAAGTTTATTGATATTCAATTGAAACTTAATTTTTTTTTAAAAAAATTTCTAGAAGTATCAAAGTATTAAACTGAAATTTTCTGAAAATCTCTATAAGTTACCCAGTATTCAAAACAGAAAGACGCTATGAGACGTTTTAAATTGAAAGACTTTTAGAGACTTTTTTAATAAAATTGCATAGACAAAGTCATAGTAGAAATTTTATCAAATTGGTGAGGTTTTGCTGGACATACTGACTCCTTCAAGCTTTTTTTCTATAGGGTTTAATGTACACTGGTAAGAGATATTCATTAATATTTATAAATTACAAAAGCTTATTTAATAATGTTTATAAGTTAAAATATGTAATACAATTTACCTATATTAATTTATAAAAATATTATTATGAAATTTAAATTGTAAAAAATTACATAAAAGATGTCTACTTAAAATTAGTACACAACTCGTACGGTGCACGTAACGGATAATAAATTACATTATATTCATTTCAAAATAAGTGTCACTTTAAAAATTTTATTCAGAAATTCGATTTGACTTTAATGTGATTCTATAAAATAATTATTTTGGTGACCGATAAATTAAGAATAATTACTTATTTGACTTTTAAATTTGAAACCCAAATTTGGATTACATAATAAATTCTCTTATATATTTCATATATATATTATTTTGTAATTTCTAGATTTATTTTATGTTACCTTATTGTTCAAATTTATCAAATAATGGTCTAGAATTAAATTACAAATTTTAAATTTCATTAACCAATATTTGTTAAAAATAAAACATCTTTCTGATTTTCAAGAGGAATACATAATTTGTCAAATTATCATCAATATCTTATGTCAAGTTATTATGGGCATATGCTAAAATTTGAGAATCATATCACCTTAGTTTTATAACAAATCAACCTAAAATTCAACTTTTATATCCATATCGAATAAAATTCATAACATTTATTTTTTTCCAAAATTTTCAAATACACTATTATCCATACCAAATAAAATTCATATCATTTAAATTCGAACATTTTATACCAAAATAAATCGCATACTTTATATCATAAATTTAGATAATTATTAATGACAACACATTTCCTACAAAATAATGACCATGAGATATCTCAAATAAAATCGTTCATTTTATACGAAAATCGGATTTATTAATTTTGTCAAATTTATACCATAAATTGAATAATTAATTTCTAAAGACGGGATTTTTTAAAAATTTTCAAAAAAGATTACATAGTTTAGTAAATTTAAAAATTTTAGGCTGGATTTTAGTTTTTATTTCGGGTAAATACAAACATTTATATAGATTTGGGTAACAAAAACTTATATAAGATTAAATATACATATATATTAAAATTTATTTAAAATTAAAATGAATAAAATAATATATTTAATCTAGAATAATGTAGCGCGAACGATTAGAGATGGAACTAGATATTTGGTTTATTCTACTCTAGATTAAAGTAAACTCTACACTAGAGTGGATTATTATTATTTTTCAAACAACAAATATATTAATAACTTTGAAAACTCAAAAGAGTATAACCGAGTGTTTACTGACATGGCTAGCACCAGAACGAAGTCTAGACCAACCCAACTCCATCTAGAAGACAAACACCTTCAGAGTAAATTAAAGGTTAGAGATGGGTAAGAACCATAAATTAGGACATATATAGTTTGAACTATTCATGAAATACTTTTTCAAATGGTTAGATTAATTTAATCTAAAATATTGTGAGATTTGAAAATTGAATATTTTCAACGATACATATGATGGCAATTAGACATTAGGAAATTACCAGTCCGCAACTGTTGGCCAAATGATCATTAATTCATTCAGGCAGCCGAATTTGCTGACACAGAAAAACTGTGAGACTCATTCAACTATTCCACTTCCAGAGTGAGAATCCTGTCTGTGAAAAGCCATGTAAACTCATCTCACTCGATTTAAATCATAGATATTATATAGATAAATGCCAATTATGATTGTATTCTAATTTTGACTCTTGTATATAGATGCCAATTATGATTGCATTATATTTTTGACTCACCAATCAATGCTTTATTAGTAAAGCTACTGTTGGAAAGACAATTAGATAAATCTATGTCTTAAAATTGATATGCATAATTTTATACTCTCTCTGTTTCTTTTTAGATGTCGTTTCAATTTAAGACTTTTAAATTACGATTTTCATGGGTTGTGTAATAATCTTGTATTTTAATTTTATTAAATTTAGTTTTTGAATTATTAATGGGTGATTTTTAAAGATAATGATACGAGATAAAGTTTGTTAAAGAGAATAAAGTTGTAAGAATGAATATGATATTTCCAACGACAACTAATTTGCAAAAAAATGGATCTACAGCGACATCTAAAAAGAAACAGAGGGAGTATAAAATAGTACATTTTCAAAATATATATAAATAAAATTATGACATTTAATTGCATATATA